AACCAACCGGGGTCCTTTTTGTATATGGAGCGATCGTTTCGGCGCAGAAGCTGGAATACGCTATGGAATTAGTCTTTTTCCTTAGAGCGCTGCACAACAAGATATAATACAAAGGGGAAAACAAATCGGGACCGAGTGAAGTCCCACTTGAACGCAATTAATTTGTAAACGTACCATGAATTCAGCACTCAATTTGGTCTCCAAAAACTCTTGACGCTGATTGGCCAGTATGGTTAGTTCACGCATCTGACGAGTTTCCTGTTTCTGTAGCAGGCGGAATGCACGTAGTTCGGCTTTGCGCTTGTTTCTAAGAGTTGGAAGGGGGTTAAACGATCAATTTTAGATTAATTGACGATTTAATTATAGACGTAATGCAGCAATATTTAGGATGCGACTAGCTCATTTAGACAACACATCAAGTGAAACAGTTTTCACTCGCAAAACGAGGTCGAAAGTCTTCAATCAAGTGAAAGAAGACAATGGTCCATGGAACGTACGTACCCAGAGCTAACTTGATGACAAACCCTACACCAAGTGACCTGATGTATGCACTGTACTTCAAAAAATATTGCGATCGACTAGGGGCAGGGCATCAGTGTTAGTGTGCAAAATACACTCCTCAACAACTAGCTTTATCGGATCTATAAACGCTGCTAAAATATCGGTGTTCGAACAAGTATAGCTAATGGGACATAGTCGCCCTAATAATTGTTCAAGAAAGTTTGCGTCATGGTTGGGTTTACAGACAACAATACAGCAACAAATATTTTAGATAGAAGGATGGGACATGGCGATGTCCTTTTATGAGAAGCAGAATTATGGGTGAAATTAGTGCTTACAGTTCTTCTTCCTTGTGTTTTCGATCTTGCTCGTCGAGGCGAATAATATGCTTCGAAGTTGTGGTCATCTCCTTCCCGTCAATAACGAAACGTCTGGTACGCGTGAGTGTGCGATAGGCACTGTTTTTGCGACTCAACTAAGATTGATAGAAGGGCGCGGGTGGAATTTGACCAAAATCAAGAAAAAATAAGTGAGCATCGAAATCTATCTTCTGTAGTAATCTGTCAGAGAATTCATTCATCAGAACGATCGTGAGCAAAATGTGAACAAGCAATGAACCAGTTTGATAAGGAAAGTAATATTAGGTCACAGTTTAAATTCAGCCATAATTAATACGTGCTTACGAGCGTACAGTCAGTTTTGCCGTTTGAAGTATTAGTCATGACAGGATATCACAATGGCTGAATGATCGATGTAGGCTTTTATTTGTCACTTTTGTCCTCGCAGGGTGTAACCGAAAAACCGTGCATCATAACACCCTACGCATCCCAGACCGTTCAAAGTAAAACAGTCCACATATAAAAGATTATGTGAATGGAAATTCCAGTATGATTTTGCCGAATTCTCGATCTACAAGGTGGTCATTCGGTGTTTACTGAACACTTTTGTCACGAAAATTAGAGTGTTAAAGGTACCTTGGGTGAGTTGTCAAAACAGTCCGGTTGTTTGACTCTGTGACTGCTGATAAGCTTGTTCCGCTTTCACTCAGCTCCAATCACAGATCGCAAAACAAAGAGCACTTCAAATCACTCGCAATTGATTATGAGGACAAAATTGGGCATTTTTGCCACCTTTCTTCCATCTTCACTGTGCTTAGAAGGCCACGAATTCCAGTCACTTATTTGAGGTTCAAGGTGCAGAAATAATGCTGAGGGAAGAATCCATTAGGTTGAGGGCAGATCAGGGAAAAACCGCTCCACGGAACAGACTAGCATTAGTGCATCTACCCGCCTCTACCGATCTTGTGTACATTATATGGCGGATTCTCATCACAAACAACGTCCGTCGATGTGCAATTTTTTTTAGCACAGAACAAGTACAACAATATTTAAAATTAATCGACACAAGAATTGGCATTTTATTAAAGAGCTCATAGTACGCTCGTGGTGACTGTGCGGTTAAGGACACACTGTAATCGTGCAACAAAAGATCGATTGGTAATATTCTGCGGTGTTTCAACTCTAGTTAAACATTATAAGAAGGTGCAATCGGAAAGAACGAATCTCTTGACAGAAAGCGCGTGCGTGCGCGCGAGAGAATCGCACATGATTGAGCCAAGTTATGCCGTGTGAAAAAGACGCGCTAGTCAAGAACGAAAAACTATTCAGCAATAGAATGCAGTTGCCTAACAATGGTGAGTAATAAATTTTAAGGCCATTGAAAACTGTGCCAAATTTTCGGGGCACAGTCGGCGTATGTTAGGGATTAGCGTACAGGGATTGAAACATCATTATTGATAAAAACAACTTTTTTATCAGGTACTCATAAATTTCTGTTTACCATAAAACCATGGGCTACGAGTACACCAACTGGAATATGAGCAGCGGTAGAGAAATGTCATTGTTGAAAAATACAGTGAAGAAAGGCATCGTTTACAGTGAAATCCTTTCTACGAAATAAGTGTTAGAGGGAAGAAGGTTCGTTCACCGTCGTCGGCTGTTTATACACGATGTCAGGCGGCTAAGAGTGTTCCATCACCAGTGAATAGTCCAGATAGCTAAAATCGATTGGTGCGACAAAACTATTTGAAAAGTCTCTAAAACGACGTTGCTGAGAGACCGAGCAGCTATCGCCACCTCTACGACGAAGGTTTAACCATAATTCACATCGTTCAGATACGGAACAAATAAGATAGTGCCCAACTCCATCGTCGTGCCCGTTTTGGTACTATAACACTCATGGAGAACTAACAACGTGCTCTAAGAAACCGAAGTTTGAACTCTTGGGTAATTAATCAGTTTACGATGTATGCAGTTGCGCCGATCACACCTTCAACGGTGTTAGTGGGTTGATTCTTTCCCTGGAATTGGTTGAGATGAACAACGACACAAAGGAGGCTACCAGCAAAATAATGAAAACAATTCAAGTGAAACAGAGTATTACCTTTACAGTGCATAGACCGGATTTCATGAAGAGTCATTATTTCATCGACAAAACAATCATCTCATTCGTTTTATGGTTAACTAAAGGGACGGAACACGCCGGTGGGGTTGAATAAAACCAACTTATCACTATCTGATATTCACCACAACTTGAATTTGAGGCATCCGAGTTTATTTGTGATATTGCATTCATCACCGAGTAGTTCAGTTTAGCATCAGGCAAAAATGACCACCGTATCTGATTCGGTTACACAATGCATCTCAAGAATCCAACATGTATTGCCGAGCTGCGTATTGGGCTGCCAAGTTATGTTAGCCAGGAGGATATTCATCTTTCGGGGTGTGCGAAGACTCGACTTGATATGACTTGAATGAAGTGTTTGTCGTGTAAAGGTAGAAATCCCGATGTAGCTTGGTCAGTCTCATCACCTATACAATGATGCATCAGTCTGATCAGTTGATTGTTTTTCAAATGGACAGTATGATTTAATTGTGAAAAAAGTTATTCACACTACCTGTTCGGGGCACAGCGACCAACTATCGATCACAGGGTTAAATTTAATTAGTTCCTAACTCGACGCTGCAATACCAATCATGTGACACAAATCGCATGCAGTACTGTACTCTTTTCCCATTTGTGGGGTTCCACCGTAAATACGCACTCGGATGAGTAGCATTACCGGAATACACAGACAGCGAAAACTGACGATAATGATAAACGGACAGATTTACCGTCGTGCTGAAAAAAGTCAAAGCCATATAGTCAGCGGTGTGAAATCAAACCGCAGCCGGAAAAAAGGGAGAAAGTGCAGTATGTGTGCAAAACACAACAACACCAGATGTGACTCACCCCTGAACTCTTGGACAGACTTATCATACTATCGCTTCCGACCTCAGTGGACTTTCGTGAGGGCCCCACAGACACAATGTCCTCGTGATGGTTTTTCTCTTTAACGCTACTAGTAACGGGCACGGGAGAGGTTGCTTTGCTTGAGATGGAAGCACGTTTCTGAGTTTCACTCTGGAAAGATAATTATAATTCATGTTTAATAAGACAGATAGTGAGAGAGAGAGTTGGAGAAAAACAAATGACTAAAAGCATCTGACAAAGCAGACGTACATGTGGAACAGGATACACTATGTGTCAAGAGGACCTATATCCAAGACTGATAACTGCATGGGGGATATTTCTACCACTCTTTCAGTACTTGATTTGGTCTTAACTAAATAACAAACAAACTGTCCCTCTACCGCGAGTGTTCTGATGCTGAGATTGGGTTAAGAATCGAATCTGCTAATTCAATCAACTCTCATGAATTCACATGAGCCCAGGTGGCACACTGTCTGATCTGGAGTATGCAAACGACATTGTGTGTCTAAGTGAAGATGCAGGTAAGTTGCAAGTTTTTTTGGACAGCTTGAATGCCAGTGTTCGGTATGCGTTTTGCACCTTCAACGTGCAAAATGTTACTACAAGACTGGGTTGGTCCAGACCCCAACCTCACCCTGACTGGCTAAGTGATAGAGCAAGTGGATAAGTTTTGTTATTTAGGCAGCTACATCTCACCCGGCGGGCGCATCACAGATGAAGTGTCAGCTCACATGCAGAAGGCTCGGTTGGCATTTACCAACTTGAGACATCTGTCGCGTCGTCGCGACATCCTGTTGTCTGTGAAGGGTCGAGTGTATGCTGCAGTAGTTCGGCCAGTTCTGTTATACGGCGCAGAAACTTGGCCATTAAGAAAACAGGATAAAGATAGGCTGTCGGTGTTTAAACACAGCTGTCTACGTAGCATTGCACGAATCTGGTGGGGTAGCTGGACGAGCAATGCTGAGGTCAGGCGCAGTTTTAGGTAATCGCTGTTGCCCTCTGGAACAAGTGGTCGAACTCCATAGATAACATTGATTGAGGTCTGTTACGCATGTCACCAGATAGGTTGCCACGGCGAGTGATGTTTGCCGAGGCAGGTAGTGGATGGAATAATGCTCAGGGTGGTCAATTCAAGATCTGGAATGAGGTTATGAAAACCCTAACCTGGAACCTGGGTCACATAGGTCTTGTTAGGATTCCTGGATGGGGACCTCGGGATGGTCGTACCCGATGGTTAGAGACACTGAGTGATATGGTTTGGTGTCGTAATCAGTGGCGTTTGTGCATCTTCTCAATTTCTCTGTATCATTAGTCCATTGAACTTTTCAATTTTCTCTTCGATCCAAATGGGCAGCCAAAAGACAGTAACCAAAACCGGCATGGTTAATGGTTGTTCAAACTGAAACTGAAAACATGATCCGTGGATCAACACACGAATCAAGCCTCACATTGCATGATATTTCCCGAAACCAGATCTAGTGAGAAAAGGTATGTTTTGTGAATGTCTGGAACATTAGCTGCGAGTATTCCGAAGGCAGACTGTTGAGTTTAAAAAGCGGAAATTGTGGTTCAAGTGTAGCCAAAATTTGAACATGTCGGATTTATTCATTTTTCAATTAACATATCACGTGTCTATGTCCATACGCATCTATGGCGCGGAACACAAGAGAGTCTTCTCAGTCATCCCATTAGAGGAATGAAAATGGGATGAATCGAGAAATTTTCTGACACTGTTGAACACGTTTTCTGTGTAGCAAGGCAAATTGTATGGGCAGTAGAGTGTACACAAAACTGATATGCCGGATCCTTTCAGTTGAAGAAATTTACTTCATGATGAGGCCACGAAATAGACCGCTAGGCTGTCGTAAACCTGTTTCAGCCTGATCAATGATGATTATCCCATTGACCTTAGCCTGGTCGTTGGAAGGCAATAGATTTCAGAGAAGGAACGAGCTAGCCTAGGTCTAAGTGAAGGTTGAACTCAGTTTCACAACACGTAAATCCAGACTCTGATTCTGGATCAGCAAAACCAAACAGGTAGCAGTACATGGAGGGGTGTCTATCAAGATGCATGGATAAGTAACATGCTCGAGTATAACAATTTCTTAGCGATTTTCCTATAAAAATTTGATATAAAGCTCGAATTACGTCATAATTTAACAGAGCCTCGTCAGAACCACTGTGTGTTGCACGCAGAAATACGCCAAATCAAATCAGTTCCCGTGTAGCACACGGAAGCATATTGCCTAATAGGATCAGGTTTAGATGATGCCAGCCACAAAATTTTCGAATAAGAAGAACCAGACTGTATGAGGTTTCACGTAGACCGTATGGCAAAACTCGCTGATCTTTACAAGCGCATCTACCCGTTATCCATTCTGAAGGACTCAATCTCCGCCAACCTAGTGCACAACGGGATTTACTGTGAAAGATAGTACCAGTAAGGTAACAAATGACGATTAAAATAGTTACAGTTCAAAAATAGCGAGAACTGTAATCATTAGTTTGTATGTTCGATAGATTCACTGAGATAATCCGTGTACTTTCTAGGGCAGCCTGAAACAACTCAGTTTGGAGTGAATTGTTATTGGCCATTCAAAAGAAAACCAATGGCGCCTGGGTCGGAACACAGAGGCAATGCAATCCTGTTCGTTTAGTGACTTGAAGTGGTCTGTCAGCACGAATAGGATTACTCGATCCACCAGTTACCTTCATCACATAGGTCACCGTGAACCTGTAATGGAATTAGGCCGAGTAAAAGCTATGCATGACAATCCTTGCTCATTGATTTCTGGAGAATCGGATACAATTGGTACAGGCCAATCAATAAGGTTATACTTTCAGTTTTCGACCGGACACTTGCAACAGTATTTATTTGAAACAATAAAAGATTAACGACTTTGAATAAAGTTGCGAATGACACCAGCTACTGGATGCTATTTTTCATCCACGATATACAAGTACGAGGTCATGATACCGCTTGATCTCAAGTTCACCAGGACCCGAAGAAAATAAAAGCAAAGTGCGTCGATGAGTAGAATAATGATGCACTAATGGTGAATTCATATCAAAGTTTAGTCACATTAAGGCCGTGTCACGGGGATGATGAGAGGATGACAGTTAGAAGAGAATGCATGAGATGATAGGTAAGCATGGTCAGACACATACATGTTGGGTTAATCGAGAAATTTATTATTTTGTATGAACTCAAATTGACCTTAAGATTGATAAAACACAGCGGCTAAAAAAAACACATGCACTGTGTTAACATCACAACCATGCACCTGAGACAACGTTGTTGCACCTTGGCTGAAAACGTGGGTATACAACAGTGGTGATGATGATGATCTGAGTTCGTACACAGCATTTGTGGGTGTGCGCCTACATCACTCACTCCACTTGAGCGTAAGGGTTGCGCCAACAAGTGCAAGTCCGTGAAATGACGTGAGCAACGAGAAAACTTACGGGACATTCATCCGTTGATTGTGGTTGGTAAGATTCGGTTTCCGGAGGCGCTTGCTCCTCCGTCGGGAGCAATCCTTCCTGTTGTAATTCATAATTCAAGTCTCGCATCACTTCGAAAACACAAAACGGTGCGGAGGGCTGTTCTGTCTCTGAATTGAGTACCTCATCGATGATCTGCTCGGCAATTTCGGCCACAAATGGGGCCAGCAGTTGCCGCTACATTTTGGGGGATGATTAAACAGACCGCTGATTATATAGCAAGTAAGTGAACGCATGCTTAAGATCTAATTGTGCATGATAGTTAGTTCAGTGCATTATTGATTAGTGCAGAAGCCGTAACCCGTGGAAAATTCATAATTACAGTGGGCAATGTATCGTAGTAACCCGAGGCGTGTTGTGTAATGTGAATAGAGGAACAGTGCACCAAAACCGGTAAAAACAGACTACTTCTTATGTATCTGAATGGAAAGTGACTCAGTCACCGATCGATTTATCACTATTGTGAACAACCAACCTACAAACGGGGAAATTGGTTTCATCTCTCAAGTCCCAGTTCTGGACGTATTGATTTAGATGACTAAACAATACCTTTTTATTCTTCAGTTTTCAAGCAACGTACTCAGCATTCAAAGAGTACCACAAAAAACGAACAGAAGTAGAATGACCAAAGGAAGAAGGAACTTTCTGAGTCATTCACTGATCCTGAAATACTACGTAATAACCTACGAGTTAACAAGTTGCACTGTTGAACTGAATCGTATGAAATACAAATATGCAAAATGATAGCCACAAAAATGTACGTGATCCTAAAGTTGTATAGGAAATGAGAACAAAAACCCAAAGCACACAAATCGGGTGCAATACTACTAAGCCGGAGCAAATCAACGCAGTGCGAGAAGAATATTGATATTGAATGCGCTCGTCTTGATCACTGTGAAACTAAGCCATCACCGCATAACCAAACGAACCACTTGGGGTGAACCGGAGCCATTCGTTGCCTGATTGCAAAGACGACGACGCAGTTGACTAACTCGCGGAGTCATGGTTGGTGAGAACGGTACGATCAGTTCCGTGCGACATCGTACCGGACTAGTCTCGGGTCGATGACAGACATTACGAATCGTTTTCGAACGATTCAGACGAATTACAACTGGGGACTGGGAGGACAGAACACGACAACTTGATTGTCGTAGTACAGACCGATGGCTCTCGGCTGCAGACGGCGAATCTGTCCATTTCACACTATTTGTGTTAATGTTTTGGTTTTGCTCTGGACGTTTTGATGAGGCAGAAGGCACGACTAAACGCCCGGATCTTGGTGGAGCGTGGGAAATGGTCACACGACGCTTCAGATTCATGTATCTGACAGAATCAGTGGGTGGACGATCCTTAGTGGTCACTGGTTGTGGTGGCAACGGTTTTGGTGAAAGACTGGGTTTGCATGAAACTGAACGTTTAATGGGGGTCTGAAATCTAATTGGATTACCCCGATTTGAGGTACTTGACTGACTAGATGGTGTGAACCACGTGACTTCAGTCAAAAGAACATGACCAGGACTAGATAGGACAATGGGTTCACGAGAGCCGGGATCAGACGACTGGCCAGGATAGAGCAAAATGCAAAGATAGCCCATAGGGGTAGGGAGGAAAAGGATGCAATATAATTAGCTCAGTGACATGACGCACGCAACGGTTTCAAATGTCAACGAGAAAGAAATGGGTATCAAGTTCAATAGGAAAGAAAATTAAGACAATAAAATAACACACAACCGTAATCACATGAATCTGCAATCGTCCAACCTCGTGACTCTCTTTCGATTCTCCTACCCAAGTGTCCATCACAATGACTATTGTTTCATGTGACACAAGAGTGGATTCATGTGTCTAAAACATACATGGAAGGCGTACAGTCCTAATAGAGAAGTTATCAAACTGGAATTGTTATTAGTTTGTTTACATTTTACACGAGGGATTTACAAAATAATCGAATCGAATTGAAGCCCCAATGAAACTGCGTTCATTTGAGTTATTTTTCCACCCGTTCCTTCACACAGTGCGAGTCAGTTCATCCCAAAATTTACAAAACGTGAAAGAAAGGAATGGAAAATTCACCAAGTAGAACAACTTACGGCTTGAATGACACTTTCGAATCAAGAACACTGGGGCTTCCATTTCTAAGCGAATCGCGTTATGAACACAAGGGCGACAACTCAAAGTGAGCATATGTGACGCGCGGAAACGGCACGGCTGTCCTAGTACACGTCCCATGGTCTGGCTGTATGCGCTCACATGGGGCGAAAATACGCAAAGTAATTCAAACACCGGGATGTCAGAAGACGCCGAGCTCCGATGACATTCCCTTCTTTTATTTAAAGGTTTATTGGTGATCGCGGGGTCCCAAGAGTTCGCAATATGAAGTACCTTGAGGTTACTTGAGTCCACGATCTCGCGTGCCATACCCATTCGGAAAAAGTACAGCGACTGTCCCATATGTTCCATATGTCAATATTAAGATGAATCCATGACCCTCAATCTATCCTCACTCAATCTGTGCACGAATCAATCTGACACCCCAGTGTGTGATATACATTAGAAGAGGTAAACCCCATAGTCGCCAGGAACTATTCACATAATGGAAACCGATAATCTACGACCCATAACTTGGAGAACCGAACCACATAAGGCTCCACTAGCATAGGCATGGTATTGATCCGGGAAACAGCGAAGCTGCCTATCACCTAAGTTGGGTGGAGGTGGCGGACGTTGAACCTCTGACCCTAGGATCCATGGCACATGAGTGCGAGCTACTTCAATCGCTTCCCACCTCTTCATTGCATATCGCACAATGGTGATTAACGTAAGGATAAGGGAACTGTTTTGGGATTGAATTAACAACGGTAAGTCTTCCGATCAAAGCGTCTTAAGCGAGGGAAAGTTTTAAAACATTTAGCTTCAGACATGTCCATTCTAAGACAAACTGGGTACAGTTTAATGATTTTGATCATTATTCGTGACACAGCATAACACTAAATGACCGAAAAATTATTTCAGAGGATTGTTTATTTTAGTGAATCAAATCGCAGGTGCAACCAAAATTATGTCATGCGGGAATTGTCGGTAAATCCGGTTTCGGACAGATCAAGCAGATATCACTTGGCCGATATAACTAGTCAATGAAAAACCCAACTAAAAAACTAGAGTGAACTGGAAAGGAGTGGGGGTGTTGAATGCCCAAGCTCCAGATCATAAATAGCAAAATTAGTAGGATGTTGGATGGGAAATGGAATGATACAACAAATACTGGGCCGAGGCCACCTGAGACTTATTGACGATTTAGTGTGACGAGTCGGAACCGGAGCTAACTGATCGAATCAACGAAGCGGGGTATATCGACAGGTAGGCAAGTCTCAGTAAATAGCACCGATTTATTGCGTGAAAACTCGTCTCAGAGAACTGATCAAATGAGACAGCACGGAATCTCGTGTCGTACGCGGTCTTCATCGCGATACACAACCGGCGAGGAATACGGAGAACGCATGATCGAATGGTGTGCATCTAAGAGTACAATTGTGAACATGTGCGGTCGTCCGATCAGCAACTAATGGCTGCTAGTCACACATGTACATGTGTGAAAGAGACGCACATCGTGGAGATGGATGCACGTGATCACAGAATCAAGCATGCATAAATAATAAGTGCAGAGCATGTGTGTGATGGAAAAAATACCATGTGGATTGATTCATTGAGGGTATTAGCATAAAAAATGCATCACGTTCCCGCATTCCAGATTTAGTGGTCCTCAGACCTGTATGCATACGAGGACCCAGCATTGGCTGATTGACAAAAAACATGAGGTCAGTTGGATATCGATGAAGAATAGTCTGTGTAGATGAATGAGGGTTCCGAAAAAGATGTGACCCCGATTAGACGTTCTCACCAAAGCTTTGTTGATGTTTTTAC